CACTACGAAGAATCCGAATCCACTTTGACCCGACCCAAATCAAAAGTCACTAATAACTGTACCACAAAATAGACACTTAACATGTCATTTTAATGCTATTTTTCCAACAATATATATATATATATATATATATATATATATATTTGAGAACATTATTGTAAATTGATCCATATAACCTAGAATATAACCCTTACCCAAATAAGGTAATATTATATTCAACAATCGAAACCAAACACACAAGGTAATCTTACATTCCCAAAATTTCACATTACCTTCCTGGAGGTAATCCTATTGTATAGGGTAATCAAAGATTCCGTGAACCAAACACCCAAATGTGTTTGGTTTGGATTGTGTAATATAATATTGTTATAAATATATCATTATGTGGACATTATTATTTCTTTTTCAATAAATGAGTTAATTAGAAAATCATATGCAGTGATATTTTTACATAATTTTCATTCCAATTTTAACTGGTGATGTAGAATATTATTATTGCTCGTTTCATTTTTAATTTTCGTTCTATTTTTAATTTACGTTTACTATTGTTTAAAATATACCTTTACTATTGATGATGTAGAATATTCTTATTGAAATATTTTGTTTTCATTTTAAATTACCTTTACTTGATGCTGTAGAATATTATTATTGAAATATTTTTGTTCTATTTTTAATTTACGTTCCATTGTTTAAATTTGTGAAATATTTATGATATAATTGTGATTTGATTTATTCTACTGTGTAATATTATAGAGAAAAATTAAAAAGTAATGATCTGACCATTTCCTTTTCTATTTTAGTCCATTATGGATCATTTTTTTCACCCAATTATTGATATTTATTTATATTTCCAATTAACCTAATTTTCATTCCTTTTTCAATTTTTAATTTTCAGTCAATTATTAATATTCATTTCCTTTTCCAATTTACCTAATTTCCGTTCCATTTTTATTTGATAATGTAGAATATTATTGTGAAATATTTATGTTCCTTTTTAATTTATGTTTTTTTTTTTAATTTACCTTTACTATTTACTATTGTTTGGGATGAAAATCAGGTAAATAGGATTTTGTTTTTAATTATAGTATATAGATTATAAATTAAGAGGGCTGGTCACGGTTATGATTATTATATTACGAATTAAAATTAGGGTTTTTATTATACTTGAACAATAATATTACCAATTATATTGTAGAATATAATACCATACATAATATTACCAATTAATAGATTTTAGTTAACTTTCATTTTACATTTTCTTACCAAATAAGCTTTATTAATTATTTGACCAATAAAATATTTAATTAATTGGCTATAAAAATTTGGGCAGAAAAAATCAAATATGAGGATTTTGCTTTACATATACATATACATACATATATATATATATATATATATATATATATATATATATATATATATATACATGGAAATTTATATAAAATAATTTCATTAATTATAATTTATATTGATAGATTTATAATTAAAAAATAACATTTAGAAATTTAAAAAAATTAATTTTTAAATTTTGTATGATTAATATAATGCGTACGTATATGTATGTATGCATTTTTAAAAAAATATAAATATTTATTAAAACATATTTTGTTAATTTTATAATTTCATTTTCTTAATTGTATTTCATATTTTATTCATTACTCCGTATAATTTAATGAAATTGTCATAAATATTTTCACAGTAGAAATATTATATTTCTCAATTTCATTAATTATATTAATTATAATTATCAAATATTGTGGTAATTACCATAATAATTTTATTAATTATAATATTTGTTTTCTTTCAATATTGAAATATATTAGGAAATAATTTCCTAATATACTTATTTAATAAATACTTAATATTTTGGTACATTAAATTTGATCATTTAATACATGAAATTAATTCTTTAATTATAATAGTATTATAGCTTAGTTAATATGTATACACACACACACACACACACACACACACACACTTCTAATTCTATATTTGATAAGCATAATTTGTGTATGTATATACTTTAGGAAAATATTCATTATTAAAAAGGGAATATAATTTAAAAAGTCAAGTATTAGTTAGATTGCCTAATATAATTGTCTCACTAATTGATTCCATGCTACTATATAACTCATACATTTAAAGATTTTTTGTTATAGTTAAATACATATTAACTGCCTTAATTTAATTTAATAGTCACATCTATAGTACTAAAAGTATTATTTTTAATTTTTATAAATAAGATATAATATTATTAAATCAAAATAATTAAAAATAATTTGTTCACAGTACAAAAGATTTTATAATAGACTTAATAATTAACTATTAATTTTTATTGCCTAATACAAATTATCAATTATAAAATATTATTTATGGTAATTATTGTATGCCATGTAATACTAAAGTTGTTAGGTAGAATTTTTATAATTAAGGTATAATATTATTAAATCGAAATTATTAAAAATATATAGATCCACATTAAGAAAACCTTATTAATTTCGGATATTAAAACTATATATTTGAATCCATATATTTAGATTAAAGTTGAAGTTATAAATAATTAAGTTTCAATAAGTTTATTTATTCCCTAGATTATATATGAGTAATAATGAATATTTTTCTATATTAGATTATGCTTATATATGATTTACCCATATTAACCATCACTATATTAGATTAATATATAATTCTTTTAATATAATATATTATTAAATCAAAACATATGGTTAATATTTATTCAAGATTATTACAAAAGTATTACAATTATAAATTGTATTATATTTTAAATGGCTTAGCATATTGAAGCAAACATGATAAGTCAATAACATTATTTCACATTAGAAAAGTGATTTTAATACTCTATTCAAACTAAGCTACAGTACAACATAATTTTTTTGTCCAAAAAAAAAAAGTTTAAATGGCAAGAAAAACATTTTGAAGGGATAGACAAACTACTCTCTTATAACAGAAAATGCACACTTTAAAAATGAAGAGATTGAGTCGAAACAAAGCTCAACGCTTTGATATATTAACAACTAAAAATGCTTTGAATTTCATTTTGATTTTACTGTATTCTAATCATGCTTCCCTCTATATCTCATTACATATACACAGAATCCGTCCCTCTCCAAACTTTATCCACTTGATGAGCAACGAACTCTATTGCTTCCCGATCAATCTTTCTAGATCTGTATCTTCTCCACAAAAAATAAACAAAAGAAAAAGAATATATCAACATTTTTATTACAAACCACTTTTATTATTTAAATATCGGAAAATCCAAAACAAAACAAAACAAAACCCAAAAAGAAAAAAAAAAAACTAAGATAATGAAAACCTCACCCGTGCAAATCACGTATCAGCCTCAACTGTGGAAGATCACAGGATGATTAACAAAAGTCAATGAAATGATGGAGAAGATACGGGATGGAGAAGCCCTACCGATGTGGAGAAGGAAATGATGGGGAGGCTAGAAATTAAAAGAATTATAAACTTGTATTTATAAGTAGAAAATACTAATTCAAAAGGAAAGTATAATAATTTATTCATTTAAGGTAATAATAATAATAATAATAATAATAATAATAATATTATTATTATTATTATTATTATTATTATTATTATTATTATTATTATTATTATTATTATTATATATATATATATATATATATATATATATATATATAATAATAATAATAATAATAATAATAATAATAATAATATAGGATTTTACTTTTGTCATGTCTAGGACCCGCCCAGTGCGGCAGTGCCTAGCTAACTTTCCACCACAATGCATGACTAACAACGTTACTTCGTAGCCTATTCGTTTGTTGGATTATGAATCATAAAAATCTGGGAAAGAACGAATGAAATCGTTTGACATGTATAGAATGAAAGTGAAACATGTGTTTCAAGTCCTCTTTATATGTGAGTGTTCTCCTGTTTATATACCTGGATAATTAAGATACCAATGAGCACTGACTCATTTTTATTAAAAAAAAAAAATTATGTTTCATCCATTCAAACTATGCTCTCTCCTGGGCTTCATGCTCTGTCTCTGCTTGCTGATCAGTCTGTTCACCGGAGCTACCTCCCAACTCGCACTTTACTGTCCCAAAAGCGCCGCTACTTATACCCCAAACAGCACTTACCGATCCAATCTTAATTCCCTCCTCTCCGCTCTTTCTTCCAATGCCACCCGCGAGAATGGGTTCTACCACAGCGCCGCCGTGGGCTCCGGCAACAACACCGTGTACGGCATGTTCATGTGCCGGGGCGATGTTTCCACCGCCGACTGCGGCGGGTGTGTGAGAAATTCCACCACCGATATACTGCAGCTGTGCCCCAACGGAAAGACCGCTTTTGTCTGGTACGATTTCTGTATGTTGCGTTACTCCAACGAGCCTATATCCCGGAGAGTCGAGCAGTCGTCAATCATGTACAGTTTATACAATACACAGAACGATTCTCAGCCGGCTCCGTTCATGGAGTCGATCAGGAGCACGCTGGATCAGCTGGTCACCGGAGTTCTTGGCGATCGGTCCGGCAAGAAATTTGCAGTTCAAGAAACTAACTTCACTGCACTTGAGAGGATCTACAGCCTTGGGCAGTGCACCCCGGATATTCCCAACTTGAATTGTCAGACATGCCTAACTAGTGCTATCCAGTTGCTGTACACTTGTTGCTATTCAGCGGTGGGTGCTAGAACTCTCTCCCCGTACTGTAATGTTAGGTATGAAACCTACCTTTTCTACAATCGCACAGCCGCCTCGCCGCCGCCGCCACCGGCTTCGCCGCCTCCTCTCCGTCCTCCTCCACCCACTTCTACTACAAGTGATGAAGGTAAAACTTTCTTGGTCCCTCTTTTATCCATTGGGTATTTGGGTAATAAGCTTTTATCCTTTATAGAGTAATATGTAATATGTTGTGCGGAGGGTCAACTCTAGCATCGTGGCTGGGGATTGTTGGGCAGAGGTCCATAATAGTCACGTCCAGTATCTAGCGTCTCGAAAATTTGATGGCAGTCTATAAGTAAAGAAATAAAGTTAGGTCTTCCCTACTAATTATTGTTTTTTTTTTTGATGTAAGTGGTAAGGGCTTGATCGTAATATAATAGTCAAGAAATCATGAGCGGAACAGTATAATAGTAGTTAAGTAGTAGAGCAACAAAGGATTTGAAGGGTAAGCTAAGTTAGTTAGACAATTGATTTGATCAGTTTGACTCCTAACAGGAGCAACCTTCTTGATTAGTTGATGCACTCTCGAGCAGTGACTGGCTGGTTTATTCCTCTTTTCTGCCTCGTTTGGTGTTTGATGATATATTTTACCTTGTTGTCTAGCTTGAAATTCTAATACCATATCTGTCACCATTACCCTGTTATTAGTTTATATTAAGGTTGCCATCGAGTTGACCTTTCAACTCCGAAGGAAATTTTTTGAGTGTGATGTGTTTCTGTTGATGCAGGAAACAAAGGAAATTCTTCAACAAAAGTGATTATTGCCATTGTAGTTCCGGTTATTGGGATTATGCTCTTCGTTGCAATCTTCTGTTTTGTGAGAACTAGAAATGTGAAGAAACAATATACTGCAACACAGAAAACAGGTTAAGTAACAGATTGATTGGGATTATTTAGGTTTCACTAACCTTAATTGTATTACCATATTTGTAATTTAAAATTTCGAAATCTCCATCTATCCAGAGGATGTCTCTGGACTTTCTGCTGGGGAGTTCTCCCAATACGATTTTGCTACTATCCAAGCTATTACAAGTGACTTCTCCCCGGATTGTAAAATTGGCAAAGGTGGATATGGTTTTGTATACAAGGTGAAATCTTTGGCTATGCAAGATCAATATGCTCATTTTAGTCTATTCTAATTGTTTATTGAAAACTAATACTCAGGGAACGTTTCCTGGCGGACTAGAGGTAGCTGTTAAGAGGTTGTCGAAAAGCTCAGGACAAGGAGCTCAAGAATTTAAGAATGAAGTTAGAGTAGTTGTCAAGCTTCAACATAGAAATTTAGTAAGGCTATTGGGATTTTGCTCTGAAGGCGAAGAAAAGATACTAATTTATGAATTTGTTCCCAACAAAAGTCTCGACTACTTTTTATTTGGTTAGTTCCAAACTACAAAATTTCATAATTCACTTTATTTTATGATGAGTAAAATATTCATTGTCTGACATGCACCATAAAATTAAGCTAGTTAATTTACATACCTAACTGTGAGATGTAAACTTTGTGGCTTATGCAGATATTGAAAAGAAACACCATTTGAATTGGTTAAGTCGTTACAAAATTATTAAAGGGATAGCACGAGGGCTACTTTACCTTCATAAAGATTCTCGTCTTAGAATCATACATCGTGATCTAAAAGCAGGTAATGTATTATTAGATGAAGATATGAACCCAAAAATAGCAGACTTTGGAATGGCCAAAATTTTTGGAGTTGATCAAACTCAAGGAAATACAAATAGAGTTGTTGGAACTTAGTAAGTTTTCATCTTGATCAGATTAGCTATGTGAAATCATCTACAATCTCAGTGGACATGCAACAGCTATTATTAGATCATTTATCATTGCAAAGAAATGTCTTCATTCTAATTGAAATATATATTTCATCTGTTTCAATGGGTATACTAATTAAGATCTTAAACTTATTTAACTCTTTGGCAGTGGCTACATGTCTTCCGAGTATGCAATGCATGGCCAGTTCTCCGTGAAATCTGATGTTTTCAGTTTTGGCGTTCTTCTCTTAGAGATTATAACCGGGAAAAAGAATTCCAACTTCAGCGAATCAAGTGGAGCTGAGGACCTCCTTAGCTATGTGAGTATACAATCTAAGATATATATATATATATATATATATATATATATATATATATATATATATATATATATATATTAAAATCTTCATTAACAGTCAACTCTTTTAACCTGATGATCTGAGGCTGATAAATGTTGTAGGCTTGGAAACATTGGAGGGACAGCACACCTTTAGGAATACTGGATCCAATCGTTGGAGAATCCTACTCAAGAAATGAAGTCATCCAATGCATCCATATTGGCTTGTTATGCGTTCAAGAAGTGGACGAGAGGCCGACAATGACAAATGTTGTCCTCATGCTCAATAGTCATTCTATTACGAGACCACCACCTCGTCAACCTGCATTTTTCCTTAGTGGAAGATCAGAGATGATGCCGAAAGGGATAGATTCTTATCAGTCTACGAGCAGGTTAATGCCATGGTCTGTAAACGAAGTGTCCATTACTGAGCTTTATCCAAGATGAGGTATCCAGCAGCAGCGTTCCAGCATGGATGAAATTTATGCAGATTGAAAAATAAAAATTTGATGCATTAAATTCCAGCTCATATATTTTATTGTATGGAAATGATGGATGTTGGTTTTTTTAATGCAGCTCTTTCTGGCTTGGACATGGAACTTTTACATGTACGTATGTAATTATAAGTTGAATTTTAATGAGTTGTATTATGACTTCTATTACATGTACTTCAAAATCTTATTTCTTGATATGACATGCTGACGGGCTCCAATGAATTTCAATGAGTTGTATTATAAATGCGGACAAATGTATTCATATTATATTTTTTTGTTGTTTTCATCCGACTTATTGTTTGCGGAAATAAATGGACTCTTAAAAAGAAGAAAGGCAGTATGTATAATGTCTATACTTCATATCATAATTTGAATTTAGATGAAAAAATTGGATAATTAAAAATATAAACAAAGCATTATTTTATTGATGATTCAAAGTAGGACAGTTTGGGGAAGAATGAGTTGTCCTCTGACAATATCTACATCTTCTACTTTGATTTGAACCGAAGTCCATTTCATTTGGATACCTACGTGTGCGGCGCTGGCCTCGTTGATTTGGTTGCCTAGCAGAAATCGGTGGAAGGCAAGTAACTGGACCGATACACTGAATTCTTTCGTCTACGGGGTAAAAATTATCGACATAACAGTTCCTGTAGTTTTCAACGGAGTAAACTTCTGGCACTAATGGGCCGAATCCTTGCCCTCGGTAATTGCATGCTGCAATCACATGTGCACAAGGTAAGCCGTTGACATTCCACAAGCCGCAGTTACACGTATGTTCCGTTAGATTCACTTGAAAGTGATTTTGTTGACTTTGGGAAACGTAACCAGTATTTAGGGCAACACCATAGATTCCGAGGGCGTCATTGAAACGTTGAACGCTTGCACCGCTTGCCTCATTGTTTCGAGCTGACAAATCATCGGTAATGTTTGTCGTGAATCGCAGGCCGTGTTGTTGCATCCCCTCTCCCGCAGTACGCCTGTCGGCAAACATAGTCCGTAACTTGTGAAAAGTCATTCGGACTATTGCCGTGACGGGTAACATCCGACAACACTTTAGTGAATTATTTAGTGACTCAGACGGATTGGTTGTCATGATGCCGTACCGGTGACCATTGTCGTGAGATAATGTCCACTTATCGACATCAATGTCGGCAAGATAGGTGTATGCAGCCGGCCATTTGATTTGGATTGCCTGCATGTGTTGAAGGAATTGATCCCTTGTCACAGTAGTACCAGCTTCCCGCACAAGTTTTCGTAACTGCCTATTTTTGGTCACCCTTGACATGACATTGCTGCGAATGTGTCGTAGGCAAAATCGGCGTTTGACACGGGCCCCCTTCAATTGTTGGACGGAATTAAACGCCACATCGATTCCAGCGTGTCTATCCGAGACGATACACATGGAATTGTGATGTGGAAAGACATTTTTGGCCAGAAGTCGAAGAAAACAAGTCCAACTGGCATTATTTTCGGAGTCCACGATCGAATCTGCCAGTGGATAGATTTCCTTGTTGGCGGTATATCCGTATGCTAGCAGGAGATGGCCTTTGTACCGGTTGTACAAGTGGGTACCGTCAACACAAATAACCGGGATGCAGTAGCGGAAACCATCTATTGCGGGCTTGAACGCCCAAAATGCATACAAGAAATTCGCGTACCCTGTACCCCTTTCTGCGTTCTGTGTGGCCATGATTTCCACAATGGTACCAGGGTTGGACAGTTGCAACTGCCGGCAGAATTGTGGTAGCTCATTGTACGAGTGCCGGTAATTCCCTTACTGCATTTCAATGCATTTGTGTCTGGCATACCAAGCTTTCCGGTACGAAATGTCGACACCATATCGTTGTCTCACATCCACTTGGATGTGTTTGATTTTGTACTGTGGATCCACAGTGATATTTTGAAAGATCAAATCACATATTAATGAGCTGGTGCACAGTTTGTCCGCGGGCCGCTGGTTGAATTGAACTGTGCACTCGTGGGGCTGAGTGTACTTCGTGACCTGCCATTCAGTAGATGCCCCATGATCCAACTGAATTTTGGGCAACTGAGAAACACCATACAAACCAGCGACTCGCAGCCACGTTTTGACTCTATCATCATTCACGGCTGCACACCTAGTCAACGTATCGTATTTAACGGCTTTAAGTTGAACGTCATACGTTGGATCCGTCCAAATTGCTCTACTACGGTGACGGGTTTGAAATGGTAACGCACCCTCTTGTAGTAGCCCGGGATGCACTCGGTCATTTGCCATACCTGTATCAAAACAATTCATAATACTTACAAATTAAAAACATTAAAACAACTTCGAATAACAAGTTACGCAATTAGCAACACGGCAGTACATAAATAAAATATTTCAAGTACATAAATAAAATATGTACGAGGCATAATCAAATATATGTAAACTGCATTTTAAATATGTATATTTTTTGAAGTCTCAATTTTATCTTCTCTAACTATTTTTTTTTTTAAAGCCAAAACTCGGACCATTTTGGTCCGAATTTCACAAAATAATTTTTTATAAATCGGACCAAAATGGTCCGAATTACAATTTTTTTTTTAAAATTGTAAAACTCGGACCATGAGTTTTACATATAATTTATGATGTCCGAATTACAACTTTTGTTTAGTACTACATGCTCAAGTTGATAAACTCATAGTTGTGTCTGTTTAAAGAGTTCATTTTACAGTAGCTATATACAACATTTTTTTGTGTTAAATAAATGTTATAAACACTACATACATCAAAGTCCGAATTTATTTTCCTAAACTTCATTTTACCACTAAAACAAGAAATAATATGTTACAATGCGATATAATCTACAATAAAACAACATAACGAAATAATAAATTACGCAGTGTATAAAATATGAACTGACTAAAATAATATTCCTCAATATAATTTTTTTTTTACCTCAAATATAATTTTTTTTTTTTTTACATACGCAGTGTAAAACAACTCAAACTATACGCAGTGTAATCAAATATATGTAAACTGCATTTTAAATATGTATATTTTTTAAAGTCTCAATTTTATCTTCTCTAACTAATTTTTTTTTAAAGCCAAAACTCGGACCATTTTGGTCCGAATTTCACAAAATAATTTTTTATAAATCGGACCAAAATGGTCCGAATTACAAATTTTTTAAAAAATTGTAAAACTCGGACCATTAGGGTCCGAGTTTTACAATTAATTTTTGATGTCCGAATTACAACTTTTGTTTAGTACTACATGCTCAAGTTGATAAACTCATAGTTGTGTCTCTTTAAAGAGTTCATTTATTTTTTTCACTCTCTTTATTCATATTCATTATTTGGCAAAAAAAAATTTGGAAATTTACCCAAATTTTTGAGCACACTCAGTTCTCTCTTTTCGTTTATTTTTTTTTTTTAACAACAAAAAATATATACACCTCATTTAAAAAAAAAAACGAGCAAAAAAATATGTCAACTACGAGTAATTACAGGAGCTATATACAACATTTTTTTTTTGTGTTAAATAAATGTTATAAACACTACATACATCAAAGTCCGAATTTATTTTCCTAAACTTCATTTTACCACTAAAACAAGAAATAATATGCTACAATGCGATATAATCTACAATAAAACAACATAACAAAATAATAAATTACGCGGTGTATAAAATATGAACTGACTAAAATAATAGTCCTCAATATAAATTTTTTTTTTTACATACGCAAGTGTAAAACAACTCAAATATATATATATATATATATATATATATATATATATATATATATATATATATATATATATTTTACCTCAATATTGCAAAACTGTAGAGAAGATGCGGTATAGAGAAGATGCTTGGGAAGATGCAGTGTTGATCCAAACTTGATGCTTGAGAAGTGGCTTGGGAAGAAGCTTTGAAGATAACACAAATATGCAGAAAGAGAGAAAACCTTTGAGAGATATTAGAGAAAACACTTGAGAAGTGGCTTGGGAGATATTTGGGAAATGCTTTCAAGATAAAACAAATGCTGGATGAATGGAATCCGAATCACTTATAGGATGGGAAATGCTATCTGTTATACTACCAAAGTGGACTCCCAAGCTTTGAAGACCATACATTTAGAGCATCCACATCAATTGGGAAGAATGAGGGGATAATGTAAGAGTGATTAGGAAAGAGAATGTGGGAGGGGAGAGAAAAAAAGAAAAAAAAAATAATAGAAAACTGATTTTTAAAAAAAAAATAAAATAAAATAAAGCTTTGTCAGGCGCGCTGACAGCGCGCCTGACGCGCCACACGGGCGCGTGTAGTGCACGCGCCCGTGTGGCACTTAGCTGTGCGCAAACGCGCACAGCATGTGTTGTTTTTTTTTTTTTTTTTTTTTTTTTTTTTTTTTTTTTCTGACATTATTTTGTGTTTTGCAGGACAATTATCTCCTCAAATAACTCCACTCCACAATTGCTATTAACCCCACCCAACATAATTGTTATGACATTATCCCCATATTATCCACTAGTGTGGATGCTCTTATGAGCATAAATCCGAAAAAGCATGCATGCATTAGTAACATCAGTTGTGGAGTCCGAAAAAGCTCCTAGGGAACACAATTTGTGATTTACGAAAAAGTAACATTGGGAAGAGAAGAAAGATAAAAGGTGATGTTGGGGTTTGAAGCTGTCTCTTCCTTTAATGAGAATGGGTGGGGCGGTTGTTGGGAAATTAATATCCGAAATTAATTGTAAAATTCGGATGCTCTGCGCCCGACTTTCTATGTCCAGAAAGTCGGACTCAAAACCTCCGCATTTTCCTATTTTGTATCCACTTTTTCATGCGCGCATATTTGGTATCCACCCCCTAAATTCTGCATCACCAGCAAATGCACCCCGGTCGCGCTGTGTTTGACGAAGGCGGAAGGGCGATCGACGATGGGAACTGCGTGCGTCGCGTTTTTTTAGTATTGTTTTCATCAATCTCCTATTAATGAGCAAATCAAATTCTCAAATTATTATTTGAAATTTATGTACCCGAATAAATGGGAAATCACCCACGATGGTTTTGACTTTTGAGTAGAAGGATTTACCCTAGCTCTATTAATTGGACCCGGATTTGGACCTTTTAGCCCAGATCCAAATATTACAATAGTTATGCTGTGCAGCCGAATGCACCATGCACATGGTGCA